TATATATATATATACCCTCACAATTGCTTTACCACGGAGAAGAAATCCTCGAAAACCTTTCATGTTTTCATTTTATTAGTAAAATATTGAAGCATATTATACAGTGAGTTCGGAAATCTTTTCGATAATTGATATTAAGATTTTATGGCGAAACTTGAAGGATAATTCTTTTAAATAAAAATTGTTGATACTTTCTTCAAAAAACTACTTGAAATTACAATTGAGTAAAAATTGCGAAAATGTGGTATAATACTTATGGAAAAATAATAATGGAAAATAAGTAAAAGGATTATTTTAACATCACGTTACAGTATTTTATATATGTTAAGGAACCAAACTATTTCTAAAACTCAAAGTATAACTTAAATGCATCAACATTTTTAAAGAAACGTTATAAAGCTAACAACAAACTACTCATCAATAATGTAGAACAAAAAAAGAATTTAAGAATAGCTCAAATGTATCACAAAAGAAGTTGCTATTCAATTCTTTTTTCGAAAGAAAAATCTCCTCCTAGGATTTTTGTTGACAAATAGAATTGAACAAAACGGATAAAGAAGTAGATAAAAAAAAACAGCATTTCTGAAGAAAAAAGAACTAATTCGATTTAAGTTGTGTTAAGGTCTAAGTTGTATTTGATGTGAAAAAAACGTGTCTTCTACTTCAACTGAGTTTTTAGAAGATAAGAATTTACGAAAGAATTTATAAAGGTGATTTTTTTAATGACATGATTGATAGTTTACATTACACAATCCAATCAATGTTTGAGAAACTCAGCTTTAAAAATGCTTTTAAAATCTAAAATATTGATTTCAATATTTATTAAAAAAATACAGCTTAGAAAAAATAATACTTAATACAATGCTNATCCAAAATAATAACATTATTCTTATTTGAATTTTCCAATGCTTTTCCCCCTTTTCATGGAATTGCCCTGCTTTAAGTATTATAAAAAAATATGAACTATACAATATATTTCTACACTGAGAAAAAAACTACCAGATGGGCAAAACTACCAGAATATGGTAAAATTTACCGTGTTTCTAGCTCTATGGAAACACCAAAAAACTCGGTAATTTTTACTGAAGTGCTTCGGTAATGATTTTGGTAAAATTATCAATAAAATATAGATTTATAATATGTGATAAAATTTGGGTAAATGTGCTAAAATGCGGTAATTACATCATAATACTTCAGCATGGAATAAAAACACTTTATTCTGTTAAATTTACTTTTCTTTCAGTTTTGTATTTTTTATTAAATATGGGATAAGAGTATAAAGATGTGATAAGATGTGTGATTAAAAAATACGAACTATAATTTTGAAAACCAGAATATCCAGTAAACCGTTACCATGTGAAGGAAAAAGTTATCAAAATGAATGGTTTAAATACCATATATTTTGGTTTTATAGTTATGTTTTCGTTTTACCAGAAATGTCATTATTATACAGCGCCATAATTTTACCAGAATTTTTTTTCGCCGTGTAAAGTTTATTTCAAGCCCTTTTCAGAACTTAAAAATGAAAAAGAAATGGTTGAAAATTAAAGGACTTGAAAAGCTATTAAACACTCAAAATATTTTTGCTTTTAATATTTTTCAATTTATGTAATTATATAATTTAGTTAAAAATCTTTTTAAATAAGCATAATTAGCCATGTAGTATCAAAAAATTCAAGAAAAAAATTTTAAAAATATTTTTATAACTGAATTAGCGATTAAACCAACAATGTTCATTACAGGCACCTATGCACATTTGTCCTGCGAGGACATTTTTGTGGTCCTGTTTACATAATAAATGTGATTATTATATGTTTACTACAATAAGTAATTTACAGTTATAAGCATGCAGAAAGATAAATTGCAAACAAAATTACAAATGTGTAATAACACCACATACTATCCATTTGTAAAAATTATATGTTACATAATATTGTAAAATGTATATAACATATTTACTTGACAATATACGACGAATTAATGCAAATAGTAAATGCCCTGATTGTAAATGTTAATAAGCTTTGAAGCTTTTTAATACGAATAGTAAGCTTGTTAATACAAATAGTACATTTCTTTGAAATAGTAGAAAAAATATAAGACCATTATTATCTTTAAACCTTTGGAATTCCTATGCGTAATCATGTGTAATTATAAAAACAAATATATATTTACGCTATATGTAGTTATTACTTAATTTAAGTAATCAAAAATGTTAATTGTCATCTACCATACCACAAATTACAGTTTTATAAGCATTTTACTTATTTAACTCGTCACTAATTCATTAGTTCTCTAAAAAACCGACTCCTCGATTTGCTAATCATTCATTGGTTGCATTTTCCCCTTGTTTTTTTCTGCCTTTATATGCTCGCTATATCAACAATCTTTCGTAAACATCAGTAGCAATATAGTTCTGAAGTAAAAGTAAAGAGTCTTAAAAATATTTATGAATTAAAAAGCGACCCCGTTTAAAATAGATTAACAAGAATAAAACTTTGACCAATACCATTTCAGATCCCTTCACGTGCATACACATGGCGTTCTATTGCAGCTTCGCATTCTCATGTGCGATAATTTCAAAATACTTAATCTTATTAAAAAGTATATAAAAATAACTCTCTCTAGCATTTGCAACAACCAATATTCTCTCTCTTTGAACAAATATAAATTTAAAAACCTATTATGAATTATGAATAAAAAAATTCTAAACTGAAAATTAGTTTATACTTTCAATTGTAACATTTATTGCAATAATTGTCATTCTCTCACATACTTCGAAATAACAGGCAACCATACGACAAACGTATTTTCATTTTCATGTGGCTGACATAGAAAGGTTGGCTAATTAATCCTTTTTTTAAACTTAGAAGAAATATTAGCATACCAAGCTTGTTTCCTTAAAGATTAAATAAAGGCTTGCAAAAAACTTCAGAAATTTTTTTTTATCTTTTACTGTAAACCTTCTTCTTTTTGCCTTTTATTCATTCCAGCTTTGTCTAGGTTGTTAAATGTAACATTTTGCTTGCGTTGAAAATTTGATGACCTACCTTCATTTTTGAAACCTAAAGAAAACCTAACAGAAAAAAGAACCTCTACAGAATTAGAACTATCACCTAACGAAAGTATACAACAAAAAAATCTGAGCAACCTTGCTTCACAGTGATGGTTATAAAATATAAAATAAACCTTGAGGGGATTTTATCCTAGGTTTGAGAACGCTTTCTTCTTTTAATGCACAAATGATAATTCATCCTCAATTTCAAAAAGTTTTTCTAGACTTTTTTTGTTAAGACATGTTTAATCTCGAAATAACAGGGTTGTTTATGCTAGTTTAGTGCGAACCTCATGGATCGTAAACTAACATACTTAAATTTAATATTGTTTCAGGCATCCATGTTTTATTTGCTAATCACTTATAAACTGAGTTGGAGTTTGTGATAAAGGCTGTTGTTGACATTGAAATCAACCTTTTACACTGCTATCTGGGACAGTAATATCATGCTTGCAATTTTAACGCTGCTTTTGCAAAGATGTGCAAATAAGTTTAATATATATTGTACCTGAATGGAGGAGACAATAACTAAGTCCCTCTGTTTTATGAAGGCTCCGCTTTAATATGCTATTTTTAATAATATGCTATTTTTGTAACTGCAACTGTTACTCATGACTGTTAGCTCAAGTTTGACCTATCTAAAGCCAGCGCTGTCTACGCTTATTTCGAAAATGGCGCAAAATGTCAATATGGAACTTAGCCACAGTTTTACGAAAATGAAAAAAGTTTGTGGTCTTATTTTTTAATATTCAAAAAATTACTCCAATGCTGAATTACCTGGGCTCATAAAAATTTGAAAAAAACTGAAAATACGGCAGTGGTTTTGATAATTTTCTTCTTGGTGGGAAAATTTCGTTAAATTGGCTATTTTAAAACAGATTAATAACTTTTCAAATATTTAAGTTATTTGTCCGATCTAAAGCCCGGATAAATTATTCACGGCAAGATTATATAGATAGTTGAAAATCATCGCATTGCTTCAAGTGTAAGGCACTTAAATTCTGGCTTTTTTATTTTCCTCTGTTACAGAACGTTAAACCATACGAAAAACGGTGTTAACGCATAAAATCTGCCATAAAACTATGAGTTTGGATTTGACCAACAAAAAGGAGAAAAATTAACTGCGCTTTAGATATTTACCAAGAAGCCTTCAATACCAATTGCATGCAAAATAAGCAAAATATATGCCGTAAAGAAGCCTTTATTCTGTAAAATAATTATTTTATTATATTTTTTTTTAAATTTTTTTACTCTTAATACTTTTTACCTTTACATAAGATATGAGTGTCTCAAATGGAAATATATGGAAGGAACAAAGATATTTCTCAATTCAAGCTCTTCGAAAATTAGGAATGGCAAAGCAAGAAATGGAAGAACAACTTCAAGTAAGAGACATAAATTTATATTTAATAAAGAAGTTTTACATGTAAGATAAATAAAGTCATGCTTACATTTTTATTTTCATAAACGTGCGAAAATATTGCATAAGCAGTTGGGTCATAGTTGGGTAAGCTCTGCTATAGACTTATAATGGATTGGACGTAAATAGTTAGAAATGGAACTTAATGGCGTAGTCAGTGGTTGAAAGTATCTCGCTACAAGTAGCAAAACTACTTTAGTTGATACTTTTTTCGTAGTTTACAGTGTAGCATGCTACTTTTTTTTCTAAAGAGTAGTTCACTGAGTTGTGCACTGAATAATAATACAAAAAATAGCAGCTTGCAGCTTCACCTGGCAACTACTGTTATTGTTAGCTTAAAAAACAAAGTACAAACACAACTAATTTTTCGAATTTGATTGGTACAAATCTTCATGAGATCGTCAATGGAAGTAATAAGAATTCGACCAGAGGTAATAAAAATTACGTATTTATAATTACATATTGCGTAGCGAATTTATCACTTTGGCCACACCTTCAAATGCAAATGTGAACTCTTGAAACATTGATGTTAATTCAACCGATGAGAACATATTTTATCTGCAATTTTCGATGTACTTAACTTTTAGAGACACTGCAAAATTTAAAATATTTGATAATTTCCCGAAATTCGCTGTTGAGAAAGGTATAATAACTTGAAAATTAAAAGAGGAAATTAGTAAAAAAAAAATTTTAGAACAACAATCTTGCTCGTGTAAGCCCGAATAAATATTTCCTAATAATTCCTCCTTTTTAAATATACCAGTTTTTTTTATTCAAGACTATTTTGAATATGAGTATAAATTAAGTTCTTCAGCATAGTTCAGCTCCTAAAGTAGTGAAGCAGTGACTATATTTTGAAAGTAATTTGCAGTCACTACTTTTTAAAAAAAATAATTGTAGTGGTACTTAAATGCATTTGTAATAAGATAGTTGTAGTTGTAATAAGTAAATATAGTAATGTTACTAATATAGTAGTTAATAAATAATATTGTAGTTAATAAATAATATAGTAGTTAAATACATAATATAGTAGTACTAATACCATAATATAGTTGTTAATAAATATTTAGTTATTAAATATAGTTTTCCTCACTAATGAGACGAGTTACAAATAACTAAAAATGGTAAACAGATATCTGTGTCACCTGATAAGCCTAACAATCCAATATTACTTAAATAAATTTGAAAATAATATCTTACTAAAAAAATAGGTTTAAAAAATATTACAAATCTAAATTCTTTTAGTAACCATATTGTTATTCTAGAGTGAAATCCATAAATTGGTGGAAGAAATCGATAAGAAAGGCGACGAGTGCATTAATTTGGATTCTTTTCTGTATTCAAGTGTTTCTAATAACATTCTGAAACTACTAATGGGCCGTTCTTTAGACTACGAAGATAAAGACAGAATCTTCTTGAACGATCTCCTGAAGACCATGACCATGTTCTTCAGACCAACGAGAATCCATGCTTACTTCCCATGGTTAAAGTCATGGATGATCAAGTGGAAGATATGGGGTTACGATAGAGCAGAGAACTTTATGGATAAACTTGGAAGATTCATTGAGTAATCATAATTTATATTTTTCAATTTTTAAAAAAAAATTTATTTATGTTGAAGTGTGCTGATAAAAACAATCTTATTTTGAGTTTATCTTATTTATTAAGTGGGAGAGATGGGGTTAAGATAAAGCAGAGTGCTTTATGGATAAACTTGGAAGATTCATTGAGTAATCATAATTTATATTTTTCAATTTTTAAAAGAAAATGTATTTATGTTGAAGTGTGCTGATAAAAACAATCTTATTTTGAGTTTATCTCATTTATTAAGTGAAAGAGATGGGGTTAAGATAAAGCAGAGTGCTTTATGGATAAACTTGAAAGATTCATTGAGTAATCATAATTTATATTTTTCTATTTTTAAACGAAATTTAACAACTATGAAGTGTGTTGATATAAATTATTAATTATTTTAAGAGACAGAGAGCCAGAAACACACTATATTTCATAATATTCTGATAGTCTTGACCATAATTTTTTCCTCGGAGCAGAAGTGGAATATTTTCAACTTGAAGTGTAACGCCCGAGATTAAAAAAAAAATAAATGATGGATTTTTTGAGTAATCACTACCATTTCCAAGAAGTAGTAAGTTTGGTTAGATATTTGTACTTATTTTTAGTATTCAATACGTTGGGAAATTATCTTTTCATTTATATAATATTTCCTCATAACATCTCCCTCCTGTTTCACCAGAAATCTTTCATTTCTATAAAATTATGCTAAAATATCAGTCTAGATTTAAAACAATAGTTAATGAAATATTGATACTGAATGCCTGCTGAACACCATTCTAAATATAGATTTTTAGAGTCTATGTCAAAACTCAAATTGAAAAATATATACATTACGAGTCCCAAGATAATATTCAAGCTAGGAAAAAAACAAAGACATTATCGAATTCCTACATATCACTTTTGAGAAAGAGGAGTGGGGTAAAAAAAATATCAATATTGCCTATCGAAACTTAAAGGTATATCCAGTGATTCGCATTTAAACTCTTTTCTGTTTTCTCATGCAATCAAGCAGATTTCGAAAGCGGTTCTGTTTTCCTTCACTCAAATATGTTATGTCTATTTTTTACTTAATTTCTTTCTTAAAATATACTTTAAGGGAAATGATTACAAAACACCCGGTATAAAATCCAGATCAGATTATCTTAGAATATAAGACATAACAATACATTTTCAATAAATAATTTTCACAAGCTGTTTATTTACTGAAAACAAATCCTTCTTTATTTATTGAAATTAATCCTTAAATATACACTGGAAAAAAGTATGGTCGAAACTACCAGAATATTGTAAAATTTACCGTGTTTCCGGCTCTATGGAAAAGTCAAAAACGCTCTGTAATTTTCACCGAAGTGCTTTAGTAATGATTTTGGTAAAACCAACAATAAAATATGGTTTAAGAATACGTGATAACATTTTCTAAATGTCGTAAAATCGTAATTTTATCATAAATGTCATAATTTTATCATAATACTTTAGAGTAAGGCATAAAAACCATTTATTTGGTTAAATTTGCTTTTCCGTTTTATATTTTTTACTAAATGTGTGGTAATAAGAACTATAACTTTCAAAACAAAAATTTCCGGTAAGCCGTTACCATGGGAACGTAAAATATACCATATGAATGGTTTAAATATCATATATCTTGGTTTTACTAACTAGAATCATAAGGTTTTTAACCAAAACTTTCCCTGATAACAATATGGTAGTCTTTACCATAATTTTTTTTTCTCCAAGTATCACATTAGCTTTTGAAACCTTTTCGCGCCTGGTATTCTTTATCGTCTAATGATAATATTAGAAAATTATCTTTTTTAAAATGTTTGTGATTCAAATATAAATTATTTTGTAACAATAAACTTGTGATTTCAGAAAACAAATTGATAATCACAAGAGAACTTTGGATCAATACACGACACGTGACTACATTGACGCTTACCTACAATCTTTGGAATCAACTAAAATAGAAAACTCTTCATTTTCTGGTAAAAACAAACTTCAACTTTGAGTGTTCAGATATTTTAAGATACATAAGTTTTAAGTGACAACTAATTAATAATGAGTTTTAAAGTGTTTTAATGAGTTATAGCTTATGCTTATAATATATTTACATTAAAGCTATGTTTACACTATAATTTTAATAAACATTATAAAATTTCAATATAATTAAACTCTTAAGCTTTTGTGCTGTCTCTTCATTTTTTGTTTTAAATAAAATCTCAGTAACTTTTAGATAAAAATCTAATATTTTTTTTCAAATTTAAATTAAGTTTTCAAATATGTCAAATTCTAAGAACTGAAAGTTTTTGCCGTATCTTTTATGAAACAAAATTTTGTTTAAAAATGGGATATATATAAAATCTGAAAAAAATTTAAAAAATGCCAATAGTCAAAAGTAAAATTTATTCAAAAATAAAATGCAAAATCTTTTTCAGAAAAATTATTGAATTTCTGTTAAAACTTATAAAATTTTAGGTCTATTTTGCTTCGCTATAAATCATTTATAAACTTACGATAAATGAATGTAATATTTAAAAAGCAACTTTTAAGCATAATTGAGAAATAGGAAAAATATTATATTTATGACTGTTCAAAAAGCGCTCAAAATTTTGAGCAAAGTTTGGAGCTCAAAAATTTTTGTTATCAACTGTTAACTTATGATATTATTTTTCTCTTAAAAGCATACATGGGAACGTTACTTTTAAAAAATAACGAGTAAAAGTACAAGTACTTTAAGCAGAAGTAACGAGTAAAAAGTGAGAAAGTTTTATTCGAAAAAGTAACGAGTAAAAGCATACTTTTTACTCAAAATTAATAATAATTGTGAAATAATCTTTGGGTTAGAATATAGAATGTGTCATTTAAGAGAATTGATACTTGACAGGCTTGGCCTACTCAAAATAGAATGGAAAAGAAAACTGCTAACGTTAACAAATGCCACGTTTCAATAACCAATCAGAATCGAGATACCCACACTACGTCACTTGCACGTATCCTACCGGTTTGAGTATAACATGCTGCTCAAATTCATTCTATCACTTGAATATTGGCAAAATATATTTTTTAGGGGATCAAAATATTTTCATTTTTTACAAAAAACCGAAAAATTAAGTTCTTTTTTAATTTAAAAAATATTTCGTAAATTTTTAATTTCTTTGAGATTGTGCATTTTTCAAAAGAGCATATTTGACTGCATATTAAAAGTTATACCTTTCATCAAGCGAGCAAAACATCAACGTATCTCGCTTTTTTTCTTCAAGTTTTAGCTATCTATTTTTTAATAAATAGATAATAAATATATTCTGTTAATCTACTTTTATTATAAACTACTGTAACGTAATTTTTACAGTAATAATTACCGTAAAATCACTGAATCAGTCGAATTAACTAAATATTAGATTTTTGTTTCATAATATGCTCCGGTAACATGAATTTTACGATGAAAACTACCGCCACCCTAAGCCTTGTACAGTAATTTGATTCATAATTTTTTACGGTGTACTTCTGAGTAGAGTAATCAGAAATTATCAGTTTATTTGTCAAAACTAAATGAAGATAATTGAAGAACAAGTTATAATAACGATTTACGTCTATTTTTCACAAAAATGACAATTGGTTCTCCATCTGTTGCATTTTGAGGATTACAAAGTTTTGTCAAATCAATAACATAGGAAATTTATTTTCCCCGAGAATTATTACACAGTGAAAATGGGTCGTGCCTGGAGAAAAATGATTCGTGTCCACACGTAGACAAAAAGAACAAAGAAAAGTATCGTGAAAAAACAACAGGATTAGGAAAAAATTTTGAGAAAAAAAATATTCTTGCCCAAACCGTTTTTTTTTTTTTTTTTTTCAAACTTAACTTTTTTAAACCCTAAAAAATTGCAATGTTTAAAAGTTTTTATCAGTTGCAAATAAATATTTGTGAAATTCATATATATTTTTATTTTTAAGATTTCAGTCGAATGCTAACTCCTGAAAACTTGCAGAACTTGAAAATTCATTTTTCTCAGAAACAGCTTTCATGGGATTAAACCACCACCCCCTCCCCTGATCTTCAACTAAAAACATTTTTAAAATTTTCCTTTGGCATTCCCTCTTATGGTTTAGTTTAGATCATGTCGTACGGTTTATATATGGTTGAGTTTATATCAAGTTATCATATCATAATTAAAGCAAAATAAATATTCTTAAAAAACTTAATCAAAGGAGTTTTAATTTACCAAAGTACCTATATTTTTCATAATTTAGAAAAAATGCTGAAGGGAAACTTCCAGTCACTTTTCAGTGCTGGTAGCACACCAAGTAGGGCTACTTTGGAATGGACGCTACTATCCATGATCCTATATCCCCAGATGCAGAAGAAAGTGCAAGAAGAGCTTGATTCAGTCATAGGAAGAGAGAGGCAACCAACATGGGCAGACCATGTTAATTTACCATATACATTAGCTGTCATTTACGAGGCTATGAGACAAAATAGCATTGTGCCCATTAGCATGCTTCGATGGTGAGGAATTATTTCAAATTGTTAAAAATTTCAAACATAATATAAAAATAGTAGAGTTTGTCAATAATATGAATTCCAGCTTTTTATGACCTGAAAAACTCCTAAAAGCGAGATAAAAAAATCGAGAAAAAATTCATAATAAAGCAGAAATTTTGATCAAATTTCAATTCTACGATGATGACATGCTACGATGGTGAGGAATTATTTCAATTCGTTAAAAATTGAAACGATAATATGAATTAATAATATGGATTCTCATTTTTTATGACCTAAATGACTCCTAAAAATGAGATAAAAAGTCCATAATTTTCCTATAATAAAGCAAAATTTCGATCTAATTTCAATTCTTTCCTAAGCTTATATGTAATTTATATATGCCACTTGCAAGATAAATAGTGTTGCAAAGTTCATTTAAGTTCGAAACAGATGTTGAATGAGAAAAACTTTTGCATAAAAAACACATTGAAATGAGAAAAAGATATTGATATTGAGAGAATTGAGAAAAAGCAAGAGATATTGAGATTTACAACGTAAAAGGCAAATATTGTTTAATGTATAGGCAATAAAGGCAAATATAGTATAAATTCCATATAAAAATATTTAAAAAATCCTAAAGTGTTAAAAAAAATGTCACAAAGTGTTAAGAAATGTCCTCAACAAGGTAAAAAGGAAGAAATAATCCCACAGTCACTATATCAAGAACTAGCGTTTTTACTCTTATAAAGCTACTTAGTTAATTTTATCAACGTAAATTCCAACATTTAAGTAAATTAAAAGCTCATAAACTTAGTAAATTCTTTAAATATGGACCTTACTAATTAAGTAACCTTAAGTATTATGGACCTTACTAACTGACAAAATTAGCTTAGAATTGTAAAAGAATTATTTTAGAACTTTTTAAAAGTCATGGTATTAGAAAAATAGCTATTTCTTAAGAATATTTTATTTGTATTTTATGCTAACATTAGAAAGACGAATAGAGCCAATTCGGCCCCTTTCGTTTTTTGTTGCACTGTAATTCGAAAAATAGTTTACTGAAAGTGTTAAGCATTTCTGAATTTAATTTGATCAAATTTAAGTGCTTATTTAGTCATTCATATGTCAGCCTTATAGAGCACATATATAGAACCTTATATCTAGAATGAAAAGAAGGGCAAGAGTGACCCCTTATGAAATTCGATAGGCATTCCATGACCCCAAAATGTATTGGAAATAAGGTCAAGGGTATTTCAGCATATCTATAATTATTATTTACAAAATTAAGGAAACATTTATCTAAGAAACTAATGTATATGTATAATTGAAAAGCCAGTGTCCCTCTTAATTAAATATTTTCGTTAACCAAAACGAATAACCACCATAGAATTTCGATGATCAAATTTATAATATGTTTTTATTAAATAAACTATGATTATATTTCAGAATTTTGGGCATCTAATTGATGTACGCAAATAATCTAAAAACTGGCCGAACTGGCCCTTTAGTCTTTTAAGGTATACGGCAATTTTCAGCCTCTTAGTGATTTTAATTTGAGTTTTTCAGTTTAAGTCATTTTAGTTTCATAAGACTTCATGTTTTATTTCCTCACCAAAATTAGTTATTTCACCATAATATTTTATTTTATTCTCTAATTAAATGCAAAAAAAATTACTCCAACATCCCTAAAAAATAATTAAAATTGATTTTTTTAAAAAAAGACACATCGAAAATTGATCCAAAAAGAGAAAAAATGTTTTTAAAAAAGAATAAAATCACCTAAATCCGTTTCTGCTATCATGCTGCTATTTCTTATAATTCACATTTTATATGCTGCGTATTTCATTTTAAAATGCTAGCTATTTTATGTTATCATTCCTTCATTTAAATAATTTAAAAAAATGTGAGATTCATAAATTCCTTAAAGAAAAATTTCCTCATTTAGAAAAAAATTTCAAAGGCATTCATAATTTTATTTTAAAAAACCATTTCTATTTAACATTTGATAGCTTTCAAAATTAAAATTAAATTGCACACAAGCAAAATTAACTTTTATAAAACATGCTTGGAAATTATTCTCAGTACATAGTTTCAGAAAAGATAAGGATTTATTGGAATTTGGTTAGCTATTATTTGATAACAAAGTAACAAAAGACATATCTAGGTTATCTTTTTTTTCCAAAAAAAATTTATGAAATACACACTATCACGCATTTTTAGCAAATGTCTAATGAGATATGTTTCGATTAGATAAAGTTCGAAATAAATGATCTTTTCGCTGTAAAACATAAATTAAAAGCATAACTTTCCTTTTAAAACAAATAGAATTTAGAAAACATATGATGTGTATTATAATATACGATATTTAAAAATTTATTTGCAACGTTGATTTGAAATTTCCTATTGAAATAAATAATTTTAAAATGAAATGCAGCCATTTTTATTTTTAAAATAAAACTAGGTATTGTATGATATTATTAAAAAAATTATAATTTTATTAAATTAAGAATGTTACTGATTAAATTTTAAATTCTGCATTCAAAACATGTTGTAAAACACTAAAACTAAATATCTTTTCTGTTTCCATATTAATAATGCATTTTTCGCAGAAAACGTAATTCTCGGATAATTCTGATAGTTTTTAAACTATAGTAATAATATAATATAACAGTTTATTGATAATTATTGAAATATTTTATTATAATAAACTATTAGTTTGTTACAAAATAAAAATGAGGCTTTTTTTTATAAAATTCTTTGAATTTTCCCATTTTTAATTCCTAAAATGTTTTTTTGTATTTCTGTAAGTCTTTGAGGCGGAATTTTTATTATACATATTTTTCATTAGTTTCCTTATTTTGTATTAATTTAGGCCAAACTAAGTGAAAAATAATACACTAAACATTTTAATCATTATTTTTTACGAAATACAGCATCGGTCACCGGTGTACATTTTTACTTTGAAAGTAAAATCTTCCAAACACGGCAGCTCACTTCCAAGCAATAATTTTTCAAGTTTGCACTTATTTGAAGTTATATAGATCTAAGAAAAACTGCAATTCATCTTTGAAACTTTTTTAATTTATAAAATTAAATATTGATAATTTTTTAATATCAGTGAAAGAAAATGGTTTTCGGGCTATTTTTTTATGTATTTTATATTTTAGAATAATTATAATTCCGAGAAAATGACAGATTTTTTTAGTTACTATTAGACGTTTCTTATAGCTAAAAAATACCAAAATATTTTTTTTTTTACTTTTAAAATAAAGCTGAAGAAAAAAATTTATAAAACTGTCCTATTTGCGTCAGAGGGTTAAAAAAAATAATAAATTTATAGTAGCTGTTAATGAGCATAAATCGCTACAGCTCCAATATAAAATTTTTAAACACATATTCACTCTCTAGTTATGCTAAATAAAGCAGAGTTAACCAAACTAACAATCACAATTTAATGTGTGATTTAACTTACCAAAACAAAGAGCTTTTACCATAAAATATGGGTCGGAAAACAAAAGGCGGTTTATAAAAGATTCCCTACTTGAAGAAAATGGCGAATGCAATAAAGATAAAAAATAAACGAAAAATAATCTTTATTATTAAAAGAAATTAACAACAAATGCTCAAATGAATGGCCAACTAGGTGAAAGTTTCATTAAATCCACGGAGTAAATCATGCATACGTGGACAAATGACAGACTCTTCGTTAAAGTCTGTAGCACCGACGATAATACGGATGACATTGCCCTCGGGTTATTCAAACAGCTTATCTTAAAAAACGCTTTGATAGATGTCACCAGAAAAAAAAATCTAGGCAGGATAGATCAGAAAATCTGAAAAACCGAAAGACGGATGCTTCATGACCAATCCATGCATTCAGACCTTCACAAATCAGACGCCCTCTTAAGGCTTGATATGACTCGTCCCTAAGGTTTTCATTCTACGGTAAAAATTTTACTGTAGTAAGTAGTGGTACTTTATTTACGTCATATTAGAGCTGAACAATGGGCTGTTGGCGACGATCTGGGAAACATCCCAAATGTTGATCCGAAAACATACCCTTACAATTTTGATCTTCTGAAGAGAGGATGGCTCCCTCACTTTAATAGCTTGACGAACAGTTTACTGCAGAACAGTTTAACAAGAACCGATACCGTGCATCATCAGTCTCTTTGCAAACTGATTGAAGTGGTAACCCACCCGCTCACTGTCTGCTGCCAGTGATGCTTGACATCGATGATCCGCTGGAAACTATGTCTTACGAGCAGTTCACTGTGGGGCTTGTTTTAATTGGTTCAACCCAAATTTTTAGCTGCAATAAATTCTATAGGAAGTCGTTTTATGTTGTGACTATTATTTTTGTTTGTCACGACGTTTATAGTAATCAAAAGGTTTTAAATTAAATTTTATGCATTGTTCGTAAAAAAAACGAAGGGAATAATTTTATTTCTTTATTTGCAACCGTGATTACAGGCTATAAAACTTAATATTTATTAAGTTTATCACTTTTCCTGTTTAATCTGTTTCTCTATATATTCTTTAATATTTTTAAGTTATTTTAAAGCTTTGTTTTTAACAAAAGTAAATAACTCCAATTTTTTTGATTTCAGCACTTCAACCAGAGTTAAGTTAGCTGGGTTTGATATACCAAAAGATACAATTATTATGACCAATATATGGGGTGTGCACCACGATCCAAAAAGTTGGGAAAACCCCTTTACTTTTAAACCGGAGCGTTTTATTCAAGATGGCAAAACGTTTAGACCACAGGAATTCATTGCATTTTCATACGGTAAGTTCAGTTAGATAAATTGCTATTTTTATATGTCGCATTATTATTTTATTATTGTACTATGTTGTATTGTTATGCTAATTTGTAAAGAATCCAATTCATTTAAACATAAAAATTTCAAAATTCTTAATTGAAATTAGTAATTGAAACTGACTACTGAAACTGATTGAATTGACTTGATTGATAAAACTAAAATAACTTTGACTATATATTCGCAGTAATGATTTTGATAAAATGCGTTTTTTTTCTATTTTATATTTAATTTCTCTTATAAATATTTCAATCTACGTACTTGTTTAATAAAACTCTTCGATTAATTATATACTTCATCAAACGTCATTAATCTTAATTACTTTATCAATTATAAATATTGTCTAAAATACTTTATTAATTGAAAATAATAATTTCAGCAGTTAATTATTAAAAATATTAGTGCAAGATAGTCCAAAGTAATATTTAAAGGAATTTCGGAACAATAGCTTCAAAAACATAACAGCAACAAGAAGATATTTATGAAGCAATTTTTCTCATTAAAAACAATCTTATTTAATTACCAACAAAAAAAAATAAGTTCCAAACATCTAACAAACCATAACATGTTTTTCAGCCCAGAATTCCCCACATTTTTTAAATATCACTTGATACTTTCTTCTACTAAAGAAGTAAAACATTCTCGCAACAGCCCGTTGTAGGCCTAGGGATCATGGAAGACAAGGCTCCCCAATTTCGTGACTAATGGCATGAATGTGGCAATGCGGTCCACAATGAGCACAGATCATCTTTACTTCCCAGACAGGCTGGTACCCATCGATCTGAAGCCTGGTGGGCTTCAAGCTTTCATTGGGGATCGAACCCCAGTTCTTCACAATGACAGTTCAGAGCCTTAGCCACTGGGAAATTACGGCTCACTTTCCTCTACTAATTTTTTCAATTACCAATGATGTTTTAAGCATTAAATATTTTTGTAAATTGCAAGGCTGTTTTATGTAATTTATCAATTCATAAAAGCATATCCAAAACAGACCATTGAGGAAAAGGGAGGTCATGAAGGTTAAAGCTTCACAATTTTGTGGTGTGATTAAAGCAAAACCAAGGCGTACTGCTATTTGAGATAGCAGAAGATAGATGTAGGTCTAGGGCAAGACACGGCTAGGAAGTTAAAGCCTTCTTAACTTACGTTTAACTTCCTAGACAAGGAAGGATGGGCTGCAAGCCGCCACTGATGACAAAAAGTCAGTCCTTCACAATGATAGATCAATTATTTAATCGCTGAATCATCCTATAACTACTGAGCCACTGAACTCCAACCCTTTTACGTAGATGGCACACTGTTGTCCCTATTGTGTATATTTTTAACACTCTAATCACAAGCAAAAACATATTTCTGCATTTTTTAATTATAAAAACCAGTCTAATACGTAGTGACTAAAAAAAATCTATTAGATTATCAGATTTATATTTGTATCAAAATATAAAACTCGAAAAAAAGGAGTTTGAAATTTTTTTCATTCGTGTTTAATGATGAATAACTGTGTCTCTTAGATCTAAATAACAGCAAATGAGTGAAAATTTGAAAAATTATTGTTTGGAAGTGAACTGCATTTACACTGCATTTTCTAACTATAAATTATTAAAATGCTAAATGTAATACTTTTCACTTATTTTGAACTAAATTAATTCAAAATACTAAATAATAAAAAAGTGTGAAAAATATGATAATAAATAAATGTTAATAAAAATTCTGCGTCGAAGGGATAATAGATTCAAAAGTTCAATGGTTTAATCATTTGCTTTACCTCTCTTTGCATCAAGAATTTACTACATTTAAGTAAGACAAACTTTGATTAATAATAAGTAAATTTTAAAATAATCTAAATTGTTTATCTTGTTTCACTTTTTTAGGGAAGCGAAACTGTTTTGGTGAAGATATGGCTATGATGACGGTATTTTTGTATTTTGCAACTCTAATGCAACGATATTCTATCTCATTACCTGATGAAAGCAAAGAGGTTCAACAGGTTCTCGGCGTTGCAAGACTCGTTGTTTTGGATAATGTTCTCTTGAACAGAAGAAAATGAACATTTTGTTAGAAGTACTAAACATTACACAAAACACTATTTCATTTAATAAAATGATAAAATCAATAAGAATGATAACCATACAATATTTCTAAATGCTTAAATATCATTGAGTGCTTGGAGTGATATAGTTATAGGCCTAGTGATTAGCCACATTTCCCAAATGTGACGTTTTTACTTAAAAGTGTTCTTTAGTATTTTTCCCAGATAGGTACTATAAGAGTTTTCAGAATTCCAATAAATTGATTGGCATCGAAACTTACAGAATTTTTTATTGCTTACGTAGTTTTTGTGACATCAAAATCACATTCAAAGAAACACTTTCTTGAACCTTTTGAAAATGTAACTCACCATTATATTATTGCATTGTCCAAATCTTTTCACTATTACTTTCGTTATATTTCTGCGGTTTTCATGCTAAGCAAAGTAACTTATACGTTTTTTATTAATTCAATTATTTTCAAATCTGGTGCTCGCATAACATGCATTTTTATTTATAAAATCACTGGACCTGTGTACTGATTATTCCATGTGTTATGAAAAGTCTTAAAGCTTCAACTTTTTTCAACTTTTTCAACTTGAAAATTTCAGCTGCCTCATTTATATTTTTTCCTCAAAAAATATATAAAAGTGACATATTTTTTTTTTCAAATAAGATGTCAAGTAGAATTATTAAGACCTGCTGACACTTGACATTAAGATTTTTTTTTCTGCAAGAAATATTGTTAAGATTTCCGGTTAAAAGTTCCAAGCAATGAAAATAAAAATAAAAAGTATGTACTTTCATTTTTACTAGGTTACTTTTAAAAACTATTTCTTCACTAGTACATTTTTTACAAGCTTAAGAAAAAATTACTGCTATTTTTTTTTTACGAAATTTTTTATTTTTTTTACTTCAAGCAATTTTCTAGTACTTAATTTCTTGTTTCTTATTTAACGGTTCCGTCTTACAAACTGGTTTGAAAATTTTAATGTTTGACTTTTGAGATGATATTATCATCAGACTCTACATATAAATAAACAAAAAAAGTGTTGTTAAAACATAACACTAAAGAACAAATCTTACGTTGAATTTATACAAATCTTGACAAATTTGGATGTAGGGATTTCAAACATGACATTAATTTTGTTCCTAAAGCTACAGATTTTTTTAAATGACATTTTTAGTACATATTTTGTCGAAATGTAGAAGTTTAAGAACCTTGTATATTACAGGGGGTAGCGTAAATGTTGCGCCGAACTTCTAGGGGAGTTAGGAAACATTGTCAGGATTAAAATTGTAGAAACACATACCCGGAAATGTCTTCGGAGGCTGCTAGGGGCTCTTTCCAATTATGAAATGTTCAGAAGCACCTCTAACGAAATATGACATTTCCGGGCAAGGGTTCCTATGCAGTTTTAACCCTGATGGTTCGAACTAACTCCCTAAGAAGCTGGTTACAACATTTATGTAAACCCTTGTTTTATATAGCATTTAAAAACTTGAACATTTCGACAAAAAATAGACTAAAAAAGTCATACAAAAACCCGCTGCCTGGGAAGAGATAACCGATAGCAGATTTGAAATCAGTGACGCGAAAGTATCAAAGATCTATTAAAAAATCTCATGGAACTGAATTTCCATTGAGGTAAAAAAAGCAAATATTAGGAATAGAAATTAAAATTCTGCTAAATAACAATTTAAAGAGAAATTTTGAATACAACTTCTGTAGAACCATGAACAATAAACTCAAACATCATTTCCGAAAGAAGCAGCAACTAAAACTTAGTTGTAAGAGTTTTAAGAATTTAATGAAACCTCAACAAGCGAGAGATTAAATAATCGAATAAATCTATGAAATTGTACTTAGAAATCTGGAATTTATATACAAAATAATTGTTTATTCAATGAAAGAAAAGTAATTGTTTTAGTAATAACAAATGATTACTTTATTGAAATGAAAAGGCTTCAAAAGAATTATTATAAAATTAATCTATTGTCTGTCCCGCTCTCGGTAACACTAATCTGATAATATTAAGCTCCTAAGTAACTATTCATAAGCAGGAAAAATTTTTAACTGCGACTTTCAAAAACAATTTTTCGGCATATATTTTCATGGAAAGACTTTGAACATCGTATATAATAATTTCAGTAATCCTCAAATTAATAACAAAATCAAACTTTAATCTCTTTGTTTATGAAAAGTAAATTTATCTTTTTTTCGTTCCACAAAATGAGAAAATTCGTCATCATTTTAAACTCAGACTTAAGTTTTGCTTCCATTATCATAAGTAATGCGAGGAAAACTAATTTCTGACTGTAATAATGGCAAGAATTTTAGATAATAGATCCGTAACAGTTAAATTATCTATTGAATTCTTTTCCTCATTTTATATCCTAGAAATAACTTTTTGAGAGTGACTAATTTTGTCTTAGAATAAGTCTGCAGATTCCGAGTACTTTGAACAAGGAAAATATTTAATGCTAAATTGTTTTCCGATGCTCGTTTAATTCGCAGTATATATATATATATATATATATATATATATATAGATGATGCCACTGAACGCTAAAGGATCAAGCAAACCTATGCCATTGGTTACCAACCAGTGGATCCCCTGGCTTGACATTGTTTTCTTGCT